AGACCTATTTGTATCATTTTATTGTATAGTATACTTAAATTAACGTTGTCGTATGCTGATTCAACATCTAATAAACGAGCTGTTACTGAAGAATTTGACGTAAACGCTAAATTTATATCTGATACCAAGTAGTTACTGCTTCTACAGTAGAATGATTTTTACGGAATCCAAATTGTGTTTGTGATATTTTATTATTTTTTTCTAACCATCTTTCGAGCCTAAGTTTTATCATTCTTTCCAGTGTTTTTGTTATGCAGGAGCTTAATGAAATACCTCCATAAGATTCTGCCGAATCAGAATTTCGATTTGCTTTAAGTATGGGAATCACCCGGTACTCTCTCCAACTATCTGGAATATCTTCTGATTTCCATATTTGATTAAAAAATTTTAATAGTGTTTCTTTTTCTTTTTGATGTAAATTTGCCAACATAATATAATGTATATTATCTATTCCCGGAGAAGTGTTTTTCTTGTAAGACTTATTTCTAATTCGTATAAACTAAATGGCACTGAAAGTGAATGATTACAGTTTTTCCCTTTCCATTACATTAATTTTTGAAAATATATTATCTGGACATAATTTTCCCAAAAACTCCTCAACCCATTCTCCTTCGGTCAATGGATTTATTTGTGGTTTAGGGCCGGTTCTACATTCCAGGTATAAATTGGAGAATAGTTATTCTGAGTATAACTTATACTTGAGTTTATTCCAAGTATATCCTTTCGGGCGTTCTACATTGTGAAATCGACAGCGGAATAGTTATTCTGGGTATAACCACAGAACACTAAGGTAAAACGAAACAGTAGATCTGATATCTTCAAAATTAGTTCAAAATGTTATTGACAGCGACATTTGGCATTTGTCATAACTGTAAAATTTGTTTACAATTGAAAGGAATTGAATAATTGATTCGCTTTATCTGGTATTTTATTTACGTTTATATTATTATACTGTACAAAATTAATAGAAAATGGATAAAAAAAGATGTAAAATTTCCTTCTTAAATTTTTTATTATCATCAACTGAGATTAGTGTTATAATATAATAACCAAAATTATGTAAATATATCTATATAGGTAGGTACTCCACATTTTAAACAAGTATAAATATTGAATTACAAAATATATAATTTTAGTTAAAGAAATGTTTATATAATACAGATTCTAGAATTACAGTCTCTGTTATCAAAACATTAAAAAATATATTGCCTTGGTAAGATTATACCTATACTATTTTAGTCATATGTGTAGACGTTATTACATTACAAACATATCCTAAAATTTTAGAATTGAAATAATAAATGCTTTCTTTTTCTTTTGGATTGCCTAATAAAATTTCCTTTGGATTTACAATCTAAAATGTTTGTGCAATATCAAAAATTTTATTTTATATATAAAAACAAAGTGAGGTTAAAATATTACAGATTTGACAACCTCTGACCGATCAATAGAAATGCAGTATAAGTTTATACTGGGTATATCTGCTAAACTTTGGAGGGATAAAGTTATTCTACAGATATACTCCGATTATCTTATTCCTAGTTTATTCTTTGTTTGTAGAACACCATTAATGAAGTTATTCCAAGTATAACTTTATTCTCAGTATATACTAGCATTGTAGAACCGGCCCTGAAAGATGTTTTGTAAACGTTTGACTTGATTCCACATATTTTTTATTGGTGTATTTTTGTTTAAAGTTTCACAAACATTTTTCCATGGATACTATTTAATATAACTTTTTTATATTGGACTGTGACTTAAACTTGCGGAAAGCAAGTTGTTGCTCTTGAATAACCTTTTTACAATTGTCGTGCCACCTAGTTTTCCTAAGTCGTAGACTAGTTCCTGTTCTTTCCTCCGGTATGCATATTTTACAATATTCGTTTAATTTATTTAAAAATTGTTGGTAATCTAAATTATTATCGGGTTCCATAAAATTATCAGTGAAGAGACCAGTCCGCTTTATTTATGTTCCATTGGAATTTTGTATTTACACATTCAGCTTTATTAACATTAATATTGTCCACAAAATTCCAATCGAAACAATGACTAATATTTGCTGAGCATATTGTAAGTTCTATTGCCGATTAATTAATACTACTAGGTCTACACAGCCAAGTTTCTTTGCCGTTATTTAAAAGTACGAGATTACAGTCCTCAATAGCTTCTAAGAGATTTTTTCCTATAGTGTCTACAGTACTACAACCCCAAACATAATTGTGGCTATTAAAATCACCACCAATTATAAATGGCTTCTCCATACTATTAAAAAACTTTTTTCCATTCATTTACCGTAATTTTGAGATTTGGTTTTACATAAATAGAATAAATGTTAATCTTTTTACCGGTTTTAATTTTAATTGATATGCTATTACACATTACGTCATTGATTGGATGAAAAGTAGGATTATTATAAAAATTAATTTTTTTTAATAGTATGGCTACACCACCATATCCATCATCCCTATTATTCCTAAATATATTATAACCCGTAAAGTTAATAAAGTTTCTTTTCTTTAACCATGTTTCTGATATTAGTCCTATATCTATTTTATTGTCATACAAATTTTTTTCTAAATAACGCTTATTTATATTAATTGACCGCGCATTCCATTGAAGAAATGATATGTTAGCCATCACGATTTAATGATAATTGTAAAATATTGTTTTTCAGTAATTCTGATGAATTCATCTAAATTGTGATTAATCTGATTTAAAGTTGTTAAAATAAAGTTTACTATAATTTCTCCTATATTACTTTGATTATCGTTTTGTATCTGTGTTTTATTATGATAAATAGGGTTGTTAAAATTATAACAAGGCTCACTTTGTACTTTTGGTGTTTGCAAGGTTTTTCTGTGTGCTTCCATTATCTCTCTGTCTACGTTACTATAATCAATACTACTTGATCGTTTTCGTTTATAGATTGTATATTTATTCGAAGTACTTTCTTGTTCTTTACTTACTGTTGAATAATATTTTCTATATTTATTATTAGCTTCGTAATATGTTATAGTTTCAGTATTAATAATCTTTTTAATATACTTCTGTTTTTCTCTTTCCGTACAATTTGCTCCCTTGTCAGTAGGCTATGTTTTCCTTTGCACAATACACAAAGTAGATTGTTAGGATTGGAACAATTTGATTTATTATGTTCTTGACCGCATCTTTCACACCTTTTTCCCTACATTGAGCACATATATGCCCCAATCTCAAGAACTTTAAACATTGCAGTATTCTGGGTGTGTAATTTTCAACCTCGTATATCATTTTTTCTATTACTACGTTGGTAGGTATAGATTGACCTTTAAACGTTACTATTACAGTTCCAGTTTGTACATAGATAGTAGATCCATTTTCTTGTACCACTTTCCGCATTATTCTTTTTACATGTAAGACTTCAAACCTCATTCCAAACCTGGGTTGAATTAATGATAACAAATCATCCTCTTCTATCTCTTTATCTACAGATTTTATAACTCCTTCCCTTGTTGGAATATATGCCTCGTACTGTTTTCTTTTTAAATTATCAGATTCAATTAATTTATTAGCACTGGTAAAATTATTAAGTTCTACATTAATTTTATTCCTACCAACTACCGTAATTTGTGTGATATTATTTTCAATTTCAGGTACTGAACGTAAAATTAATCGGACCGTGACTATCTGTGTAATATATGGTGCATTATCTCCTAATTTATAATTATTGGATTACCTGATTTATCTATTTTATTAAATTGTGTCAAAGTTGCATCGTTATTAAAATCAAATTGGTTAACTACCTTGTTAGTGCTAGGTGTTTGCCTTTTTCGTTTGTTACCTTATCATTTACTCTAATGTTGCTATTTTTTTTAATTCAAATTCCAACATCCTACATTCTCCCAATTCTATATAAAATTTCGCTCTATCTGGAGGCTTCGGTGGAATTTCTTCCATGTCGATTTTTTTAAGATTTTACTATCTACAAACGAAATATACACTTTCTTACAGACCACTAGTTTAATGTTTCTTTATCACTGCAAGTGATACCGTAAAAGTGAAGAAAAAACCTTTAAAATTGATATTTTTTGTAAGAGCTTCAAAATAATGCGCCTTTCGATTTGTTCTTTCTATTAAAAAATTATTCAAATCAGCCATTGAAAACAAAGTTAATGTAAAAATACTGTATACAATAACAAATAAAAACTATCAGCTGAAATCTTACGTATACGGGCCAGGGACAACTGAAATGACAACAATTACTTTTATCGTATACTAGAATCGAAACTCGAATGGTTCAGACCCATTCGAGTCGCCGTATACGAAAAAATCATGCACGCAGTACTCGAAAATACAAAAAACTGGATTTTGAGCGAATTTCTTCCAATTTTGTATTCGAAATATGCTCGACTAAATTCGAAAATACGACCCTAGGACAAAGACAGGCGAAACAGTTCATTAAAGAACATTCGCCAAAACTTACAGCAGACCTAATAAGCAAAGGCAGGAAAACAGTCGAACGGAGTTGCTCTGTTAACACTGGATAGATGTATAGAAGTTAAAGCTGATGGAATTGGCAGATGATGATCTATGCGGATTCTGTCACCTAGAGGAATAAACAGCAGATCACATTTTATGTCAGTGCGACAGCCTGGCAAATGTGCGGTTCTTTACATTAGGTGAAGAATAGCAAAGAGCTACATGGAAGGTTCAGTATCAAAATTATTAGATCTTTAAAAAGGATCAGGCTAGAGAATAGGTAATCTAGGATTAGAGGACCACCTTACATATGAAAAGGTCGCAGTGGAATACATTGAATCTACCAATCTATATCGATGTCGTTTGCATTGTGGAACGAATCTCTGTTTTCGTGTACCCGGGCGTTGTATAATGTTGGCTAATTTTGGCTTCTTGCTTGATTCTCAGTAAAGATCACTTCATTTTGTTCTATGGTCCTTTATTATAAAAATTTTTACTGTTTTTTCCGATAGTTATGTGTTGTGATATTTGAATGTTTTTAGGGAGTCCCAGTGAGGATTGAATTAGGACCGAAGGATATAGAAAAAAATCAGTTAGTAGTTGTAAGGAGAGATACTGGGGAAAAAATTATTATTAGCCGCGCTGATGCTGCTACAAAAATAGGAGCAATATTAGAAGATGTTCACGAAAACTTGTACAAAAAGTAAGGAAGTTGTAAAGTGATTTTTTGATAGTATTTATTATTTTTTGTTCTTTTTACAGAGCATGTGATGATTTGAATATCCATAAAGTGCTCATCAAGGACTGGTCGCAGTTCTGTCCGTCTTTAGATAAAAGAAATGTCATTTTAGCACCATTCTGTGGTGAAATTCAGTGTGAGGATAAAATTAAGGCCGATAGCACTAGGTAAGATTAATAACTATATAGGTTGTTTTTTAATTTTTGGCACCACGCTAAAAGGTGAAGAATGTTAATAACGTTGCAAAGCATACACAAGCAAAGTAAGGTTTCGAAAAAAAAAACATTTATATTTTTTTAATATAACCTCTTAAAATTGAAAGATTTGTTGTTTTGGAAGATTTTTTAGATTCAACATATGTAATACAACAAACTCTAGTGTGTGATTATTGCAATATTAGAAGCTATAATATGCAGTATTTGCAAGAAAAGTGCTTTCCATAAAAGTTGTGTCCGATGATAACAGTGTAGAATTTGTTTCTGGAAAGAGTAGTAGTAACAAAAACGATAAAATCCCTGTTATTAACGAGTCATTACAGTGATCTGTGAAAAAATTGCAGGCATCTGTTGACTTTGTAGCATTTTCAATTTCATTGATTCTTTGAAGTATATTGAAACCTCCTCGTGTAATGAAATATATGGAAATCGCCTTATATATGTTTAAAAAATAAAACGAAGAATTTTTTCCGTATTAGTTCGTATCAACGAAAGGTGTTTCCAATCATTTTAGCGTTGCCAAGTAATAAAACCATTTGAGAGTTGTTTATTGTTCTAAAGATATTTACTTCGGCAAATCCTTTTCATGTTTATTCGAAGTTCGCCTGATAATTTTTGTACGACGTAGTAATGGAACCTTTTACGTTTTAATTTTCGTTGCGTTTTGTTATTTTAGCGTTTGTTTATTTTCAAGTTAGGAACGAATTTTTAAATTCGTCATTCATACTCGGGCCTTCGTAGTGTTAGGAGGTATGGATCCACAGATTCTCCATCGAATTTGTGTTCTTCTGTTTTTTTGGTCAATTTCGTGGAAATAAGTAGTAGTAGTCATGAAATTTTATCCGTCATGAAGTGATGATCCTGATCCGAAGTAACGGCTGAACATTGGCAAAAATGTATTAATTACTTACTATTTAACTGGGAATAAGGCACAATTAAAGGTAAAAATACGTTTATTGACGTTTCAATTTCCACTTCGGAAATCGTTCTTTTTTTGTTAAAATAAATAATATATTCATTTTTTATCGTTCAAATCGAAAAGAGAACGATTACCGAAGTGAAAATTAAAACGTCAATAAACGTATTTTTACCTTTAATTGTGGCTTATTCCCAGTTAAATAGTAATTAATTTAAAATGCCACAAGAAAATAGCTTCAGAACTGTATTAAGGTTGATCTGCACCCTCGATTAATTTGTTTCTGATCCTAGAGATGGCTCTACTGCGGCATGCTACTGTGGTAAATTTTTTAACTTAATTGTAGATTTCTACATGACGACTCTGTAATATTTTCAAATCCTAACATAAATTGCAGTTTTCTGTCATTATATCAATTGGCTGAGTTGCCAAGTTGTGTAGACAGTAATTTAATCAAATATGCTATAACTTATATTGTTACTAGTAGACCAACTAAGCAAAGATATCTTATAACAACATCTTTATGTGTAATACTTTACTGTTCTGCTGTGTCAGTCAGAATATAATATACCAAATTCATTCATTATCTAAACAATTTTACCGACAAAGAAAATATGTATGTTGCGGCTTTCTTTATGAGTATAGTATTACCATTAAATTCGTACATCATATTATATTACATTTTTGTTGATAGTTAAAAATTAAAAAAATTATCTGGCATTATGATTATGTAATATTTTAGTGGGAATTGACAAAAATGTTATTTAAATCTGTTTAATATTATACATATATTACTATTATGTCTTTATGGATTAATAAATTTTACTATGTCTTCTTCGTTTATATTTATATTTCTTATTTCATGCTTCATTGTTCTGGCTTTATTGGTCTGTTTATTCTTATAATTTTTCTTTTAATAATTCTTACTTTTTCTTCATCTTTTTTCGTAAGACACATTACTTCCGCTCCTTATGCTATCCTCGGTTTAATTGCTGCTCTATGTATTTTTGTCTTTGCTTTTTTTATTTTTAAGTAGTGGGTGATATTTCCAAAACACCCCGTTCTTCTCCCGCCTTGTGTGCGTTGTGGTCATACGTTGGATGTATGATTTGGAGTGGTTGATGCGTATTTAGTTATTACGGTTCTATTTGGTCTATTTAGTTCTTCAGTTTCCGTATTCGACAATTTTATAACACCAAATGAGGACTATGTGAAAGGTGTTATTGCGTATGTATTTATTGCTTTTACTATGTGCTTGGAATTAAGTTCGCTTTTGAATATTATCCAGATTTACCCATACGGCTCACACTCCCTGTAAGAGGAAAATTCACCCATCCCAGATACCTAAGATATCAAAAGGATTAAGCTCTGGTGGGACTCTTTCTGCGTTATTGAGCCCTAGGTGACTTGGTATGCTGGAGTATCTCCCAAAAATTTTCGTACACATCTGGACGTCGCGAGGAGTACAGCTTTATGTACGGCCTTATAAAGATGTTTATTTAGACCCAGCTGTTTTATGTTCGCTAGGTGATTTTTGGAAATAATACGAGTAACAGGAGTATCCAGTTTTAGCCATACGGTTCATACTCCCTCTAAGGGGAAAATTCACTCATCCCTAATACCTACGGTATTAAAAGGATTGAGCTCTGGTGGGACTCTTTCCATGTTATCGAGTCCTAGGTGACTTGGTACGTCGGTGTATTTCCTAAAAATTTTCGCACGCATCTGGACGTCGAAAGTAGCACAGCTTTCTGTATGACCTTATATAGAATTTCATTTAGACCCAGCTTTTTTATGTTTTCTAGGAGGTTCTTCGGAATGACTCCAGTGGTAGAAAGAATAATAGGTATCGTCTGGGTACTTTCAATTCTCCATTGTCTTCTTATTTGTATTTCCAGATCTCTGTACTTGGAGATCTTTTCGTTGTACTTAACACGCAGATTATTGTTGTTAGGTATCGCCACATCGATTAGAGTTGTTTGTCTTGTTAGTTTATTAACTAGCACGAGATCTGGTCTATTATGTGCTACAGTTTGGTCTGTGAGCACAGTGCGATCCCAGTATAGCTTTTAGTTGTCATTCTCAAGCATACTCTCAGGAACGTATTGATAATATGGGAGATGGTTTGTTTGTAGAAGTCCCAGTTTAAAAGCTATCTCTTGATGGAGGATCTTCCCTACTGAGTCATGCCGTTCCTTATATTCAGTTGAAGCAAATGCCTGGCAGCCTCCGGTAAGATGTTGGATAGTTTCTTGGGCTTGACATCCATATCGGCATTTGTCGTTTTGAACCTGAGGGTCTTTGACGATATATTTCAGATAATTTTTGGTTGGTATAACCTGATCCTGAATGGCGAGTAATGAACCTTCTGTTTCAGGGAACATCTTTCCTGATGTCAGCCAATAGTTCGACGCTATATTGTCGACATAGTCTTGACTGACTTCATTCGGATGTCGCCCGTGTAGAGGTTTACCATCCAGATGCGCATTTTTTCGTTCTTAGTAAGATGGTTTATGCGCATTTCTTGTTCGCTCAGGTTGATCGGTGTTGTGTCATCTACTGCGCAAATCGCGCGATGAAGAGTAGTAGATGTCTCCACCTGCACCTGAAAATAAGTTTTTAAATTAATAATCTGTTTATCTAATTGATCGCTTATATCAATAAGTCCTCGTCCTCCTAAATATCGCGGTAATGTCGTTCGTTCTACTGCACTTCGAAGATGGTGTTTTTGTGCCTTTGTGAGGTGTGTTCGTACTTTTCTCTGAAGAGTTTCTATATCCGTTTTAGTCCATTTAATAATCCCAATATCCGCAGAAATCCCAATAATAATAAACAAATTTGTACTGTTAAGATGTGAGCGGAGTAGCTGTTTTACCCTTCTTATGAACTCTGATGTTAATTCGATTTTCATTTGTTTATGGTCAATTTTCCGCGCTTGCTTTACTCCTAGATATTTATACATGTAATTTTCGCCCATAGCCTCGATCTATTGGCCATTTTGCATATCGGATCCGCCGGGCTGAACCTTTCCCTTGACTATATTTAGTACACGACATTTGTCTAACCCAAAGTGCATACTGATATCATTTGAAAAATGTTCTACAGTTTTTGCCTAACCTTTCCCTTGACTATATAATAGGCCGCGGTTAATTGCGATATTTTCCGTTTCAATATTGTTTTCACCAGGTACTTGGAGGTGAATTTTAGTCTTCCAATCTGTCATTATATGTCTTAAGAAGGTCACTATATTATCATCGACTTTATATATTCTTAATATATCTGCCAGCCATTCATGCGGCACTGAGCCAAAGGCTTTCTTATAGTCAATAAACGCAGTGAAGAGGTTCCTTTTTTTGGTATATGCCTGGTTAGAAATGACTAAGTCGATAATAAGTTGTTTTTTGCAACCCATGGAGCCCTTAGCGCATCCTTTCTGTTGAGGTTATATGAGTATTATTATTATTATATAATGATATCGAGCCAAAGCAGAGCTTATGTGGCCCAAATTACAAAATATTTGTATGTACTAAACTAAATAATATAATATAAATCAAATGTTCTCACAAAGTAAACATAAAAATAATTTTTAAAAGAATTAGTACTTACAAAAAGTTCTGGCAATAGCAAATTACAAAAATACAAATATTACTAAGTATACATAAGTTTCCAAAAGAAAAAAAATACAACCAATATAATTAACATAAGACTAGGTACAATATTTTGTTTGTTTTCGTCAAACTTGTTTTTAAAACTATTTAAACTAGTAGCTTCTACTATGTCATCACTTAAACCGTTTAATTTATCAAAAACTCGGTTAACTAAAAAGTTTTGCCTTAAGGTGGTTTTAAAATACTTCTTTTTCAATTTATAGTTATGACCTCTTAGTCTACCACCCTCCTCCAAAAATCCTCACTAAGAATTCTATGAGTAGATATGACATCATATCTTTCTCGTCTAAGAGTTAATGAAGACAACTTGAGCTTTCTTAGTCGGGTTTCATAGTCTAATCTTCCATTATTAAAAGGTAACTAGGTGC